TCTAATTAATCTCTTGGGGATTTTTTTTCCATTCATAGAGCTGGGTGCAAGATTTGCCTGTTATTGATCTTTTTTCTCCTCTTAGAAAGCCATGTTAGAAAGAGAAGGATGCAGAGGCAGATGTAAAATACCACTTTTTGCTGACTATAGAGAGGAAAGTGTTGGAACATTTCCGGCTACTGAATATACATTTCCAGTGTAAATTACTCTTCTGCTCTTTATGATGAGAGGCATAAAGTATCCAGTGAAAAAGTTTAGTTTTTCAGGTTCCACGGCACAAAATATTTGCATAACTTTGCCCACTTTTTACATCAGTGTCTTGAACACTAGATGGCATTGGCATTGTTAGTGTAATGGGAAGAGATGGAGGATACTCAAACCTCCTCCCTTCAATGGCTCCCATCTTTCTTCCTGCCTTTTGAGAAGCCAAATCAGACAACAAAATTGTCAAGTTCCCAGGGTTAGGATCATGCCAAGTGCTGCATTTTCAGGCAGCCTTCACTGCTTGCTGCATGGTCATTGCAGAAATGACCCAACCTACAGAGCAGATTCCTGCAGCTGGGTGGTTTTGCACTGACTGTGCAGAGCTGAGGTTGCACCTGCAGCAAACCCCAGACAACCTGTGGAAGACACCATGCATGGCCTTGCCAGCTACTGTGTTATGATGCGTTCACAGTGATTAGCAGATTGCATTTTATCTTGGCTGGTGTATTTTTATTTTAATTTTAATTTTTTTTGGTATTCTGATCAGCTCTGCAATAGTTACTGCAGTGGTTGATTTCTTCTGATCCTGTCACCACTCTTGCCCATAAGTACAGAAAATGATTATATTCGTGAGTATTCTAGACATCTCTCATTAGAAGCAGCAGTTAACCAGGGATGTTAAAAGCAATCTGCATATGTAGATTTGTATCTTTTTCAGGCCAGCAGAATAGTGTTTTGCAGCATGAAAGCTGATATTAGAAAATCGTGTTTCTGTCCTTTAATAATGCTGGTATGACCTTGGCTTTGTGTTCCATTTTGTTATATATATATATTTTTGTTCCAATTTGTTATTTATGAAAGCCTAGATGCAGAGCTTGAAGAAAATCTTGGGAAGTTGGCTGTGAGAAGTAATTTCTCTGTGTTGTTTCTGCTTCAAAGCTTGGTGTGAACTGATATCAAGTGACTAAATCTGGGATTAGATGGCATCCCTGCATGATATGGAAATTTTTCATCTCCTCAGTGATGCCCTAGGCCTTCTTTAAAGGTCTGTTCTAACCCAAACCATTCTATGATGATAGAAGTTTAATTCTATTGACTGAACCTGTTTCTCTAGGGATGGCTGTGTAAAAAAGGGCTGTGAAAACCATTTGTGCTCGGTGATACCACAGGGTAAGATCATTAGTAGATCCACATTTCCCTTCTTTCGGAAATGTGCTGTTCACAGGATGGAACTTGGGTGGGTTCCATCCCATAAATTTGCATTATTTGTGGAATTTATATATCATATATATAAATGATATATAAATTGTTTGAGAAGCAATGCTTTATTCCTGCAATGTAGCAGCGTATTTTATGCAAGTTGCTGTAATCTTTGATTGGGGAGTCATGCATAACCTAGTATTAGAAGCAATTATTTTAATGACAGTTTGGTGACATGTCATCAGACCTGGAGTAGATGGGTAAATGGATTCTCAGAAAACTCTGCTTCTTGTTCTAGGACTATTTTCTAGTTTTTCGCTAATTAAAATTAAGACAGGAGGTGGCAAAATAATGAAATCAGTAGATCCTGAAAAACTGAGTCAAGAAAGCAACTGTACAGTTTCATAAGGGTAGTAGTAGAGAGAAGCATGAAAACAGCGCTGTCTCTTGCCTGCTATTCCTTTATTAAGCATAAAACCTTTTCAAATGCCTGTTGTGGTAGTAGCTAGGCACTCAGCCCCAGGTCAGGGCTTGGTCATGCTAGTGATAAACATACAGCTTCCTATGCAATGGATGAAATTAGGGCTTTGTTTTCTTTAATAAGAGTTGAGGTTTTTTACACTAGGCAGTATCAGTGATATTATTACAGAGCAGTACCTTTCAGTTGTCAACATGCTGTATTTCAATTTCTCTGAACACAAAAACACTCACTGCTAAGGCAAGATGATAGAAAAACTCACTCATTCTTAACATCCTTCCTATGTTGCATCAGTCAGAGTTGGAGTGTGAACACACTTCTTGTTTGAAATGTGCTGTTTGGAAGAGCTGTAATAGCTGTGCTCTGTGGCTTTACCTATTACAAATCCTATGCCACCAGTCACATGTTCCTGTGGTCGATCCAGTCCTTATCGTGTGTTTGAAATGTTAAGGGTCCCTCTGGAACAGAGGTTCCTCTCTGAGGAAGCTGTGAACCTGAAGCACGTGGGGACCCTCCCCAGGAGTTCTGTAGTTTGAACCCTTGGCAGAGTCAAAGAAGAAGGGAGACTTATTCTTACCTGTTGTTGAACTAGGAGATCCAAGGCAGAATTTTCTGAGGGATATTTTTCCAGATCTGTCTCTTTCTTCAAGGAAACTTGGAATTTGTGTTCCAGGACCCTTCCTCCTCTTCTACAGATTTAGTTACGACATTGTTGACACATTTGCTTTAATATTGCAAAATAACCCATTACTTTTTTTACCCTGTTATCACAGGCTTAATGCTTCTAAAATGCTTGCTGTGTGGTAACTTCCTCCCATGGAGAAAGTCCTGCTCTGCTTGCTGTCCTGATCAGCTCTGGCAAGGGGCAGCCAGTCAGGGAGTCTTTCCAGGGGACATTTCAAAGCAGAGGAGGTGGGGCAGGGAGAAGAGTCTGATGGCTTCTGTGGCTACTGCCTTGGAGATGTCGTTTAGTAATGAAGCACAAATGTTTAGGAGCTTTTAAGGGATTATTGTCTTGCTTTTGGAAATGGAATGTTTTAATGCATTTGTCTGGCTGCACTGCAAGGTTGCAATGAATTTGGAGAGCGAATTCTTAACAATCAGAGGAACTCTCAGAACTTTCATCATAATAGTATGATGTGGGATCCCAGCAAGTGTTGTAGCGTAATTTATTGATGTCGGTGCTGGTTGTGCATGCAAATGTGATCTTCATGAAAATGTGAATTACTGGAAACTGCCATGTGTATCTCTTTGACAAGAGAGGCTGGTTTGGGAAATCAAAATAGATTTTCTATCTGTTAGCTTCACAAGAAGTTCCTTATAACTGTAACCACTGGCCCAATGAGCCAAGACCCCCATCAACTGCTTCACTTAATGACGTCTTTTATTACAGTTCAGCAACCCAATGGAGTGAGTAGCTACATAATGAACTAAGTGCCTCTGAAAGCTCAGCAGTAAAATCTTTGCACATCAGTGCTGTGAAAATGTTCTCCCATGGCTTGAGTAGGCGTTTTTCAGTGTAGTTTAGGAGAAATTACACACTAGCAAAACAAATCAGGAGAATCAGTAGTCATCAACCTACAAGTAATGATCAAGATCAGTGTGGTTGAGACAGATTTTACAGTGTGTTGGTATCACCAAAGACATCTCTGTGGTCAGAACTTCAACAGCAGATACAGAATGAGAACTATTTCTTTGGGGAATTTTTAAAAAATTTTCCCTTTTTTTTTTTTTTTTTTTTTTTTATATTATACAACCCTATGCAATCCTCCCTCCTGCCTCTTCCTTGCAGAAAAGTGCACTCTTGTGTGGATTACCTTGTGGAGTTTCCAATTTGCAGTGTATCAGGGAACAGAAACCAAGTAAACTCTGTTATGTGAATGGGCTGTGGAAATAAACTGTATAAGAAAGTGAATTGACTGCCCCGAGTCATTCTCAGATTCTTCGTTTGCTCTAATTGGTTTGCTTTAATTATTACATTGTTTGCACTTCATGCACTTTGCATTGTTGTGATTTTGCACAGCTTCTCATTAAGCCTTGGCTTTTTTCTTTTCCACTGTTACTGATCTGTGCAACAGGTGTGCTAACTACCTTTTAGCATCCTGGCTGTAAAATGAGGAAGATTTCTATCAGCAATGTCTTGGGTTCTACCAATTCTACACACATGCCATGTAAGTGCTGCATGTAATCAGCCTGGGTAGGGGCACAAAAATCCTTTTGTAGTTCCAGAGGTAGATGGTGCCTAGGGAATGAGGCATGACAAAGGTCTGAAACTCAAGGGTTTCATTTCTGGGGAAGTTTGTATCCTTAAGATCAGTTTGTAACACAAGGTCAGTTCCTTGGAAATGGCCTTGCTTAATTTTATGTTAATAAAAGATGTGTATTTGGCTTCATGTCAGAAACAAGAATTCAGAGACTTTGAAAAACCTTTCAAGACTGTTACAGCTGTAATTGGTGTGTTTTGTCTTAGGTGGAGAATTTGAAAGGTTTATTTCGAGAATATACACAGTTAAGGGCAGGAACTGTTACTCATCTGTGTTTGGAAAGCAGCACCAGCACAGTCTGGATAACAATGATACTACAGAAGGTTAAAAGAACAATTAAAGAGTGGAAATAATGACCTAAGGGAGGAACACTTAACTTAGCACGCCGATGACTGCACATCGTGTTTGGGGAAATCCGAGGGGGGAGAGAGAGAGTGAGAGAGTTGTCAGAGAGACTAATACTCTCTGAAGAAATATGTTGAAATCTCTGCTTACATTTTATAAAAATGATATCAAATAACTTGAAGAAAAAGCCTTTGAAAAGGAAAGAGGGAATTTGTCCTCATTTGTGTTTTCTCCTTGGAGAGCTTGCCTCGATTTTTGGTTCTTTCTCTTTCCTTTTTGAGTACCTTGGGACAGGGGGAGTCTGTCAATAAAACAACATCTCCAAAGACACTTTTTTGTGCACAGGGAGATGCACAAAAAAGCTGCCAGGTAAATCCAGCTTCCCAAAGCCAATCTTCCAGAGCAGCCTGGGTGCTCTGGAGCCAGCCAGTGTCCTTCCAGGATGGATACACCAGAGATATCACATCCTGGCACCATTTAGCAGCTATTTTTTGTGTTTGTTGCAGGTTTGAAATGTTACTGAGACAGTCATGTTTCTGGAACAGCGCAGGATGTAGGTCAGCCTTGGCTGTGTCCTACAGGTGGGAGGATCAAGGCAACACATCCTGGGCATTTTCAGGGATTACAGGTGAGTTTGTGACTGAAGGGAATTACTGGGTTGTGTGCTTTGGATCTCCAGAACTACAGACCTGCACTTCATTGTGCATTGCACGTGATTGACAGACCTATGGAAACAGAACAGGATTATTTTTATATATATATATATACACACACACACAATTATTCATACAAAATCATAATAATGATAATAATAATAATAAAAAATAAGAATAATCATTTTTAAAAGGGATAGAGTTTTTGCTCTTTTATCCATCTTGTGGAACATGTCAATTATGTCTGTATATAGACTTTTTTTTTAAATAGTTCTTTAAACTACAAACAAATTATAATTTTCTTCCTGGCTACATTGCTTTGTATTGTATTACTTACAGCTTTCATGAGAAGGCATTAAAACAAAGCAGAACAACTACAAAGTAACTACCAGGAAGAAAACAGGGTTTTTCTTGTATTCTTGGCCTCAGTTTTATCACCCTGAAGTGATCACTTCCTTTCTGGAGCTTTTTTCTTGTTTTGTATATATTATTTCTGTGTGTAGTTGGCTGCATGAAATCAACCTCCTAACAGAGCCAAAATATAAATTAAAAAAAAAATTGGTGAGGAGTAAAGCTCACAGCATCAGTAAAGTGATCCTTTAATAAATCAATTATAGTCTAAATATCTGAAAATACCTGTTATTAAAATTCTGTTATTTTCTTCACCGCTCCCACATGCAATAAATGAACAGTGATTCTATTATTAATTACTTCCAAGTATATAAATGGGGAAACAGTTCTAGAGCTGCAGATAATCTCCCTAAATCTCCCTCCTGTCTGTGTTTCCAGGCTGGCAGCTGCTGACACCGATGTGCAGCACAGGGAGCAGTTGGGCTGTGCAGTGTTTGCCTCCAGTGAGTGCCCCTGTTGTCTCCTTGGAGTTGCTGCTGCATCCTGAAAAAACATTACTGAGACACCACTGATGCTGCTTTGCAGGAGGATGTTCTCAGGACTCTGGCACACAAGGTGAAGTACCAGCCAGCTTTTCTGACAGCAAGGAATAGTGTCTTGAATGTTTCTCTAGAAAGTACAGTGGGTTTTCTTTTTAAACTTTTTTTTTTCTCTGCCAGATGCCCAAGGGGCAAAGTTTGATAAATAATCAAAAAAACTCCTTAAAACAAAAAACACAAACAAAACAAAACAAAACAAAAAAAAACAAACAAGAAAACAAAAAAGCAAAATTTAGTTCCCTTTCCTCTTTTTGCCAATGATTATTTTCTTGGTTATGTTGAATATTTCTAATTGTTGTTAGTGAAAAAAAGGCTGTCTTCAAATAATTTAATCCTAGCCCAGATGCCACTGCTCTGTTTAGTTTCATCTATTAATATTTCTGTGCAGTTAACTAAAATTGTGGGATGTTTCCTCTTTCCTCTCTGAAAACAATGTTTGGTAAGGACTGTAGATTGTTTAGGTCGATGGAACTGGTCATTGTAAGCAAAGACACAGAGGGTTGATTGGTGACCTTGTCTTGCTTTTGGCTGGAGCTTCCTCAGCTTGGTGTGACCAGGCCCAGCAGTCACTTTCCTGTTTTGACATTGGTGGTCACTTTGCTGCTTCAGACTTGTAGACAGTGTTATGTCCTTGACTTTTCCCACTCCTCGACATATGACAAACTCTCTGGAAAATCCTGGTGTGTTGGTAAAATTTACTTATGAGTTTTGGTTTTGATACAAAGAAAAGGAAAATTAAAGTAGAAATGGGGCAGAGGAAACCTGAGTGGTACAGAAAGAGTGGGAACATGACAGAAGGATCCTGTGAAGAATGAGGGCTCCTGCTGGGAGGGTGTGGGGAGCATCAGCTGGGTTTTCAGTAATACAGGTGAGTAGAGGAGGGACACTGATATAAAGAAACAAAAAATTGTGAGATATGTCCCAGCCCCACCTTCTCAGGTTCAGCACCACTGAACTTCAGTATCTGAGGTTCTGTATACCAAAGCATGCAGGACTTGGGAGGTGTTTGCAACTGCAAATCCAGGTATTGTGGGACTCAGGAAAGTAGTCTTAGGAGAACATTGCTGTGGAATACTTCAAATTAATTTGTGAATTGAAAAAACAATTTTCACAGTTTGTTGGCAATATGTAGTGTTTGATTCTAAATAAAAGCATACTCCAATAATAAGCTTCTGTTTTCACAGCATGAGTTGAATTAATTGATTAAATAAATTCAATCAATTATTCCATGTCATGTTTTTTATCTGAAATTGATATACAATGAAAAATAAAACAAAGTTTATTAAATGAAAACTAAAACCAATATGGCTTACTGTGGCAGGTCCCTAAAATACATACATGATAATTTATTCAGGCCTTGTTAATACTTCAAAGCAATTATAATAATCCAGCATATTTTATTTAATTTTTTTCTTTTAGATTAAAAGTGAATCAAGATTAAATATTTACAAAACATAAATATCCTCATGTCTCCTCTATGTCCATGTGCTTCCTTTTTTTATTTTACTTGTGGAGCTATTCCTCCCCCGTTATCTCTTTTGCTCTCTACTATAGTTTATGGACAGATCATAACAGACATTTACAATACTCTATATTTTTTACTGTTGAGTTCAAACAAAGGCATTGGTTCAGACCTTCTCTTAATGTACAGTTGTAGTGTGCTGCCTTGGTATAGGAAGCAGAGCTCTTTGCAGAACTTTCCTTCTTTGATATATGTTTATCAAGACCAAGTAGTAAAGAGCAGGACAGCTGTCATGATGTAGTGCAAGGTATAAACACCAGAGTATTGATTTGAAATGTCTGCCTCGATTCTCTGCTATTCTGCACCAACACTCTTCTGCTTATATGAGTCAGAGGACACCACTGCGGAGCAGGAATTGACCTGTGCATATGACTGAAACTCGGTGTCCCCCAGGGAGCTGTGCCTCATAAAATATTTGCTATAGGAACAGAAATACTGGATGTTTGAGTGTGCTTTAGGAATTCCCAGAGGTGGCATATGGGGTGTATGCACACGTCTGTAGGCATGCCAGCAACTACTGAATGGCCGTCAGCATTTTCTGTTGTACAAACAGGAGCTTGTTTGGGGTCCTTCCCACAAACATGCTTTATTCCCTCTGCTGCAGAGTCCCTGTTTTGCTTGATAATTGCAACTGACAGCCTGGATTGGTGGTATCCAGCAAATGTTCAGCAGCATCAGTGGCAGGGTGATTGATGCGAACACCGCGCAGGGAGGATCTTGCTCTGTGAAGGTTCTGGTATGCAGCAGTGTGATAAGCAATCAGTGCTGCTGGAAGCATTCTGACATGCTGCACCTCAGCATGAGAAGCATTTCACCCATTTACACCCTGATCCCTGAACACAGGGAGGGCAAGATGTCAGTGGACACGATGGTGACTCCAGTGCTGCTTGTTTTGGCCTTTGTTTCATTAGCAACTATTGGTAAGCCCTGTGGTCCTTGCTGAGGCAGGGCAGCGGTGGTCTAGGCTTGCATGGATACAGAAACCATCAGGAGCTTGTGCTCCACCACCTTGCTTTACCTCAAGTCTGAATTGTCCCCTGGGGCATGCACAGGACATTCACAGCACTAAATGCAGGATTTAGAGAAGTTACAATGAAATGGAAATGGGTCACGATCTTCTTGGGGCAATGGTGAAAACTCACCTAGTATTGCAAGTCCAAGTATGCATGCCAGACTTCAAAACTGTCAGCAAAATAGAGAGCATTTTGTTATGTATTGGAGCAAACCCAATTCTCTGCTTGATACAGATAATCTACATCTTGTCCCACCAATGTGTGCCAGACCAGACTGTTATCTATCAAGTAGCTTCTATTGCTGCTGCTTTCTGCTGAGATGCAATGGCATCAGAGTAGATATCAGCTCTATACTCCATCTGAGGGTCAGGTCCCCTTTTGCCTTTATCATTTAGGAAAAGTTTTTCTGTTGACAAGTTGCCGTTAGAAAATGAATCTTTTTTTCTCCATAAGTGCAACTGAATTTGCTTGACTGTCACAGAAATATTTGGGCTCATGCCAGTATCATAGTGTAATACAGCTCTAGGATCTGCCCCTAGAAGTTTATCTGCAACTTTGTTGGTTTGCTGCTGGTTTGCTGGTTTAAGGCTGTTTGCCATTCCAAATTCTGACAAATGCAACAATATAGAATTTCCCTGGAAAGAAAACAGCAACTCTGTCAGAGAAGGTAAAAATATTATTAAAACTCTTGTGATGCATTTAGACTATGGGCTTCAAGGTAGGGGTTAATAGAGTGTTATTCAGTATTCCAGGAAATTGTCAAGATCACCAAGTATTGTACTGACTTGACCTGTGTTACATTGAACTCACTCTTTCCATGTTTCCAATAAAAATATACAGCAGATTGTTCCAGAAGCAGTGTGAAACTCGGTTAAAAATAAATCCCCTCATACTTTAAACATGTAATGTGTATACTAAATATATCACACCAAAATTTATCTCTTGTAAGGAAAACAATCTAAAATATATCAACCCTGAAATCTCCCCTGGGTCTTCTGCAAAACCATGGTTTTCAGTTATGATTTCTAAAAGTTAAAATAATCCTTCCTCATTTGTAAGCCACCAAATCCTCTGTGTTTTACTCTGCTTTTATTGCAACACTAAACCAGCTTTGTTTCACTCAAGTGCAGGATTTGTAAATAACTAATTATAGCCTTGTTTTTTTTCCCTTGAAGCATTAACATTTGGCACCTGAGAGAACAGCCCCATTTCAACTACCAGACAGTTCAGGGGAAGCACTGGACTCGGTCTCAAAGCAGTAGGGTACAGCTGACAAGCTCTCTTGGACCACTTCACCTCCTGCTCTCAGAACAGCAATCAAATGAGCCAGAGGGCAACTTTAGGAAAATATTTTCTCTAGTAGCAGTAACATCTGTCTCCTTGGCAGCCTGCTCTGGCAGTTGTGTTGGAAGCTGTGGGTTTGCCCCTGGCCCTGCCATGTATTTACATTGCTGAGAGGTTATCCTGAGCTCTGGTGGATCCTGTTACCTGATTTTCTTTTGTTCTGTCATTTTCTCTCCCTGATGCTTTGGCTGCAAAAGTATTTCTGGGTACATGTAAAGTGAAAATTACGTGAGTGTGCAGTATGAGATCAAAGGTATTAATTTGAAAGTATTAAGTGATAAATTTCTTTCTGATTAGAGATTCAGCTTTTCTGATCTGTTTTAGCTGCATTTTCTTGGCTTCAGCCTAGGCAATGTCACCATTGCTGTCTGAACTTTTGAAGGTGCTGTTCTCTACACTTGTGTCTTCCACTTGTATCAAACTCTCTTTGGTGATAATATTTCTCCTGCATTGTACTCTCTTCTTCTAAGTAACTGACTTTTGACGGATACTTCATTTCAGTGGAATGATGGTATTACAAAGACAATTATAAAGTAATCAGCATGGGCATATCAATATTTATTGAAATACTGAAAAAAATAATTCCATTGGTGATGAGAAACTCTTGGCAAGAACTGACATGACAATATGTATTTCACTGATACAGTAAGAGAACTTCAACTTCAACAAGTAACTCACTGCACATTCTAAGAGTTGCATGGATTTAAATCCAAGGCAGCTGCAGAACATCTGTAATACAAATAGCCAGACTTTACAGATTGTCTGTTTACAAACACAGAACAACTATAATAAACCAGCCAAAGCCAAACCTTTTGAATTTTAGTCTGCTTTAACTAATATATCCTGTAATCAATAAGGCAGTCAGAAGAAAATGCTTGGTTACAAAGTAGTTAACAATTAACGTGAGCGGGTTCTTTTTGTGATTTGTTTTGTTTTGTTCATGTACTTTGAGCAATATGATGGGATTCTTGGAACCCTGGATGTGGGCAAATACATGTTTAATTATATGAAACCATTTCCATTAACCTAAATTGTTCCTTTCTTGTACATTCTTATTTTAATTCCTCTGTCCTGTATAAGGATAATGGTGCTGTGAATAGTTAGCAATATTTTTTCAGATTTCTCCTTAATATTCAGTGAGGTTCGCTGTAGCATTTCAACAGGAAAAAAAAGAGAAAATAAAGAATGCAAACACTTGAATTAATGCTTTGCTTTTCTTTCAAAAGGGGAAGAATGACCACACTTATCTTGTTTGCGTATTTCACAGCCACTGTCAATCGGCACCCACACTTTACTGTTAATTTCATTTGTCTGAGGGAGAACCCTGGTATTTAAATAATAATATTTCAGTAATTTTCATCTGCCCTGGGGGATGCTGAGGGGCTGTGCTTGTTTTGCTCGAGGTCTGTAGGACAGTACAGGTGTGCTGTGGTACAAGACAGGCAAGTAGGAGTTGCAGACACTTGGCTTTGCTGTGTTGGTACCCTATGCATGGACAGAATATTAGAGCTGATTAATACAGGCAATTAAAATAGTGTGCTTCGTACTAATGCAGATGTAATAACTGATGTCTTTGGTATACAATGTATGAATGGTTGGACAAAAGTGAGAGAAATGCACCTTTTCAAGTTCACATGAAACAGAAAAAGTTATAACTCACATAATTTACAATAGATTTAAATAAACCACATTCAGAATTATGAAGATTTACAGACATTTAATCAAGTGAATGATTTTAATTTGTAAAGACCCTTCTGCATCCCTGAACTATGTTCCACTAACTTGAAGACATGCTACAGTAAACACATATATTTGGCTTCTTCATTCTGGCTATATCTTATATAAAGATGAAACCAAAGAACAATAAATTAGCATCATATTTGTCTACAGTGAAAACTATCATATACAATATAAATAAACTATTCAAAAGCCAGCAATCTTCATGAAAAAAATTAAAGTATTAGGATTTTATACAGTTTCTACAAGTGATTGTGCAGCCGATAATCTCAAAAATTAAAGTCAAAATGAAATACCCCTATTGATTTTAGTGTCTCACGACATACAGTAATTAAGTACTGGTAAAATAATTACCAATTTAAAAGAAATAATAAGGAAATCACTGCTCTGCAATTTTATCACAGTTTTTCCCCCACAGGACCTAAAGAATGTAAACACTATGTTTTTGTCAATGTTAGAGATTAATACTTTATTTTGAAACGTATGTTGATCTACATCTGCACAGTTACCTTTAAGGGTAATGAAATAAGGCAAGACTTATAAATGTGGCACTACATGTTAATACTGATATCTTAATTTGGGCAGAGAGAGAAGTGTTTGTTCTTTTCTGATATTTGTTCTGCAGCAGACTTTGGCCTACACAGACACAGCAGTATCACTCTTCTTTCTTTGCGTAAAATAGGTGCATTACCTAACTTTAAAAACAAGAAGTTTCATTAGATATTGGATGTTTGAGTTGAAATTTAGTTTCCAAATTACTGGAAATTTTAAGGATCATTTCTTAATAAGCCCCATGGCATCATCTGGTTGTACAATTCACTTGTCACTTCTTTCATCACAAAATACTTTTAAAAAAAATTATTTTTAGTTTTTTTAACATCAGTATTTGGTGCCCTAATTTTTATTTTCTTGTCAAAGAAAGTGTTTTTTGGGATGGCTAAAATATCTCCATTTACTTTATTTGGAAACAACCATAAATATATAGTGGAGCCATCTTTTAGCTGCTGCCCTGGTTGAGTATGCAGTCGAAGTGGCTAATTTACTTTGGAATATTTCCTTAGCTACTTAACAGCTATCTGATAAGAGCAGTAGAAGAGGGATACTGCCTGATAGAACAACATGAACACGTGACAAAACAAACTTCAGGACACAGTTAAGAATGCCAAGCTAACTGGATACCAGGCTCATCCTAGGAGCGGTTTGCAGGCCCAGCCTCTGGGGGTTTGGTGGCCACAGCACACAGCACGTGGCCTAGGCCAGCTCTCTCTTACAGCTTGTTCAATGGATGCCACATCATTTAGCACAGAAGAAGTAAGTGTTGGGTTCTTGTAAGGATGACAGAAGATGCTGTAGATACAGTTTTGTATCTGTTGTAACTGTTTTACGAGTCCTTCTATGCAGTGAAGGAATTTAGTGCACTCAAATTCCCCACCATCTTAGCTCAGTAATACAGATCAAGTTTTTTTCACCTAGGTTTCTTCATGTTGGCAATCAGGAGAGTTAAATATACAAGGATCATTCTGTCCTTTTTCATGTTGACATTGGTGATGGTATCCACTTGGTAAGTTCACTCCAGCATAAAGTCCTATATAGATTCCTTTGGGGATGTGTAGCATATGATTCACAGTTTGCAATACAAATACCCTGATACATCACTTATTTACTATTAGTATTTGATTATTATACCATTTTGCAAAGTCTTAAAACCACATTTTAATTAGTGTTGCTTGGAGCAGTTCAGAATAATTTCTTTTCCTTGAAAGCAGAAGCTGTAATGGGTATAATTTATGCTCTCTTTGCATGCAGCATCTCAATGAGAAGGTTATTACACGGCACATCCCCGTTCAGGTGTTTGTAATAGAGGTATTCTTCGGCCTGCAAACTGATGGCCCGGATTTCTGGTAGTCGCAGGAGAAGCTGCCCAAATTTGTCTGTTTGCTGTGGGTAATTACACATTGTGTAGTCCAGCAGAGCAGCATTCACTTGTTCCTGAACACCTTCCACAAGCTGGAAGTTCTCAAGATTTTTGACATCTGAATGATAATAAAAAAAGAAGGTAACAATTCAGTTGCATTTTAATTCCTGTTTATGAAGTCAGTGTTTCACTAAAGAGATGTATTTTTTTGCCTCCTGACAAAAGCATACTTTACAAGCTGCTGAATATTCAGTGAACCCTTTTGCCAACTTTCCTGGGAAAATGATCACAAAAGAGCTTTAGTGGAGTGTCTTGTTGAAATTCTGCATATACCTCAAATCAATTAGACACCAATGGAGTCTGAGCAAGGTCAGCTCTTTTCATAGCTAACGAAAAGAAAGGTTGAGGATTCCTAAAGTAGAAGACCATAATATATTGCTAGCAAATGAGTCCCAAGAGGAAGCCCTATCTTTAACCTACTATGTTACACAATTCATATAATTCTGTATTAATTTTTCTGACCCAAGGTGAAATCTGTGTCCAGGGTATGATGTAGTTAATTCTAATAAAAAGTGACAGTGTTCTTGTTTCTGTTTGACATTTTCTAAATGATTCTGAAAGCCTTTGACTCGTCTAGCCTATGTTAATGAACCATCTGGTACACTCCAGTGACTGCCAAAATAATATTCCCTACTAGAAACTCTCTAAAATATATATTTCACTGACTAATGATCTTTATAAAATGAAATCATTGTCCTTTGGGTGGAATACTAGATAAGAATGGTGCCCTTTAACCTGCATATGGTTTCTGAAATCCAACACTGATTTTTTTTTTCTGGTCTTGGACAACGGGGCATTTACATCAGCACGGCAGGTACAGTTTGTTCACTCTGCCTCTGTTTGATTATCTTCTGTTCCTATACAGCAAGTTCAAGCTCTGGAAATGCTCGTCAGAGATAAATGCCAGTATATTATCTCCTCATTGTTTGCTCCCCTGTGTAAAAACCACTTGGATGGAATTGTCTTTTAACATGTCTGGTGAATGCAGAAGTTATTCTAAAGCTTGCAAATTAGCGTGCTGCTCTAATGCAGGAAGAGGGAACTGATTAAAGTGCACTTGATGGGAGAGCTTGTTTTGGTTGTGTTTGATATTTTTTACCATCAGTAGAGTACTTTAGCACTTTCTTGTAAGGCTAAAGCATGGTGCTACTAGGCACAACTGCTGCTAATTCACTTTGTATATAGACAAATCTGTTAATCTGGGGATATCCTTGGAGCCCAGGAGATGGAAAATTTGGCAGAATTTGGTTCACTGTAAATGCCAGCCTTTGACTGTGGGGAAATGTTTTCCTTTGCAAAACAGGAACACACATCAGTCACCTGATCCATCAGGAGCCTGGGAGGCTGTGTAAATTTGGTTTCACTGCAGCTTTTCCTAGAAGTGCTTTAAACAGAGCAAATACCGGTTCCTGCACATAACTTTGTGCTGAAGCATGAGGGAAATGGTTGGAGGAGGCAAACATTGTCTTTAGAGCAAGAGAATAGGAAAGCTGCCATGGGTCCCAGTGGCAGCTGGTGGCAGCCTGCACAGCCTCCAGAGCTCCAGGCTTTGAGCAGGAGCCCCTCTGGAATGTGCTGGCTGCCAGCTGCACGTGTGGTTCTCTCTTGCATGAGCCGGGACCAGTGTTTCCTGCTGGGGTTGTTATTGCCTGCCTCTTTCCTGTCCCAGTTCCACTGGAAATGCGAGTGACTCCTGGATTTGTGCTGCTTGTTTGGGAACTGGGGATATAGCATCCACCAGAATTTTGCTAGTTGACTTTAGGAACTCACCAGTAATATTTAAATTGTGATGGCTGTCCAACAAGAATCATCTGAACTTTACATTATCCCAGGTGAAGAGGACTGGAAACTTCAAAGCTGCTATGCCTTGTCCCTTAGCTATTCAAACTCATTTATCCAAAGTCTTTTTGCCAGTGTCTCTGGAGATCTCTGAATAATCATGTTTTCTTGTATTACACTGGACATTTTCTCACACAAAATATAGCTGTTTATTATTTTATGTACCTACAGAAAACTCCCAAGGTAATTTGTAGCTAGTGTAACCTGGTTTAAAAATTGGGTGTTCTAAGCATATTTTTATAAAGTTAAGAAAGAAACAGTATCAGCTGTCACAATTAAATTAATTAGGTTGTTTCAGATGCAAAATAAAATCATGAATGAACTGCTAGAACATAAAAACTCCCACAGTAAACAGACACTATGCTGGAGATTAAACTGTTAAACAGCAGAGTAAAATGTATGATGATTTCAGAATCAGTATTTGGAACTCTTTTTTCCTCTGTAAAAATAACTTTAAAAGTCAGGAAGTTTTACAAACTGTTAGCTGATTCAACCCCCTTTAAATTCAAAGGTCATCTTTCTGTTGCTCTCTGTTTAGAGCCATACCGTGTATGAGACTGTGCTGGCTTCTTGGAAAACTAAGCTCACTATTACTTTTGCCCCCTGCTTAAATGTTATTGCATGGATTATATATTTATTGAAAAATCACAAGATAATTTTTTTCAGAGATTAAGAAGGAAAAAAATCTATGAATTGCAAATTTTTAATATTTGTCTACAAAAGGGGCAAATTTAACATGTGTTTTAGAGACACATATTCTTCTGTTTTTAGCTGTACTGATGTCATACTCCAAGAGGAGGCATAATATTCTAAGTATTATATATTACCCCCAAACACAGGATCAGTGGCTTCTGGCTGTGGGTGTGCCAGTGCAGTGTGAGGAGCTCCTGTACACCCCTCAGCTCTGTGGCCTCAGGGAGTCCCAGGGGCATTGCAGAACTGCAGGGGAAGGTGTGTGCTGTTTTCTTTCCTCATCTCAGTGGACAGTTCCTTCAATGCTCCCATGTGGCAACAGAAGCACGGCAGCCAAGATGTAAAAACAAGTCCAATTGATATTAACAATAAACAAAAAGTAGTTCTGGGCTCCTATGCCATATTCAGCCTGGAGAAATACTTTTAATGTCTTCCCTCTAAACAAATTCTTGCTATTTGTGGTGAGGCTCAGTGCTTGTAGTGTTATGTGAACATGTTACACTGAAAATATGTAGATTTTCCCTGACTTTCTATACTGAATCAGAAGCAGTCCAAGTAATCACAGTTTAGGACATCACTACACAATTCATCTGTGTGTAGACCTCTCCAGGACTGCAGTTACAATAGAAGGGACATAGAGGCAACCTGATTTGGGCTGAATCTCATTGAAGTGACCAAGATCTCTGCATATGACATTTGATATGTGTTTTTATCTCATATACATTAACAGTGAATGTTGCAGTAAAGCAAATGAGACACTCTGGACAGAGAGAAGTCAAAGGATATGTGCTGAGACCTCTGTGTAAAGCTCCATTTAAATGTCTCAAGCTCTCTTGGGATATTTATATATCATCAAAAAATAGGTTTGCTGAACCCATAATTGCAATAAAAATTATGTGTTTTTTTGAGATAGAATCATGAACTGTAGCTCTGCTAAAGATGAGTAATAGCAAAGGAAAATGTGAATATTAAGTTATTTTCAGTAACTTCAAGTTATGCAGGTAGAACAAGAAATGGTACAGTTTTCACTGGTGGTACTTAGTGTTAGTTGGTAGTGATACAAATGAGATTAAATAATAAACTTGGGGTTTAAGTAGATGGTTTTCCTCTGGTTTGAGTTTGATTTTTTTTTGCTTAGTATTTATTATGTAACTGGCTGGCTAAAGGGATTTAGTTTTACAAGTATCTCCTTTGACTACTAAGGAGTTAACTTGGTGAGACACCAAGCAATGCCGGTGTAACTGCTGAAGGCAGTCATGTACAATGAGCGTGAAATCTGCTACTGATATGTAGAGCAGGACATCCCTTATGCTTCCACATAATTCCTCATTCCTGTTATTTTATTTTTTTTTTTTAACTGGGATGTCTCATCAATCTTTACATCGGTTAGTAACAATTTAAAGTACACATGTTTAAGCTTAATGCAAGAAATCATTTTCTGAAGTTTAGATGCTTGTAAATTAAGTGAGTAGGAGTAGGTCCCCCCCCTCCCACCCACACACCCTTTAAATCCTAGCAGCTAGAAAAAGTGTTTTGTGTTGCTACAGAAAGTATCAGTCTCTTAGCTCTTCTACTTTATTCACTCAGGGACTAATTACCAACTTTTTACATGAAACAGCCTTACTGTGAGCTCACAGTGGGGCATGCATCTTTTTCTATCCTTATTGAAAAGTAAACCCTTAGGTCTTCTGGAATATATTATATGTTTTACAAGAAATAGCAATTGCTTTTCTGTCAAACAAAGAATTTTTGTTCTCTATAGCTTACTTTTGACGATTAAGACAAAAACAGTATTATAGTGTGTCAGGATCTGCTCTGTAGTCACAGTAAAAATCTGCCAGTATTCCCAGATATCCCCCCCATTTTGATTATTTTCTACATCTGCCATAAAACCGTGCATTTTAACTCATGCTGTATGCAGCTGAAACTGCACACAGCATTCAGCACAAGGAGAACACTTTTGCATATTTTCCCCCAAAATGGGTCTGGTCTTTAGAGGGGAAAAATATTTAGGTTTCAGAGAGATTTTCTCCCTCTCATATTCCAGACATGAAATACTGAAAATTTGGGGGTGTACTAACCTATTGAGAGTTTCCTTTGGTCTGGGAATTTTGAGAAGAAAAATGAAACAGAATGAGAGATTTAACTTTGAAAAATAGTAACTCCTTGGGAGCACTAAATATTTCCCAGAGAAAGCTGGTTAAATTTTACTGCTGATGTCTTTTATTCAGTACTGTTTCTCCATGAAGCAATGAAGAGGTGTGAACACAGCTCAGCTGCCTCTCTGCGTTTTGCACCATTGCAAGGACAAAATAAGATTTTGGGGCTCTCCATGGGAAAGATGATTTCTTGCTTTCACAAGGGCTCTTCCAGTCTCAGGGATTCTCCAGGCACCAGAGCTCCTTACCAGCCCTGGCCTGAGCTTCCTCACCCCGAGGGGGCTGATCAGCCCCATCATTTAAGGACTTTATTGAAACCCAGTGCCTCTAGGCTCTTTGGAACGACTGATGAGCTCATGATAAACTG